TATTTTAAAGTTCTTTAAAAACTTATATTTTTGTTGAATCTTTTGAACCATTTGTTCCAGTTGTAAGAGTTGGCCAAACAATCGTTAACAGTAATTCATGCACTCCCCTGCACTTCTGTGCTTCTGTTCGGGTAACCGGGACTCATTCAATTTTTATTTATACATTGCCCAAAGTCAAATAAATTAATTCGTGCATCCAAAACTTTTGGACATACTTTGTGTGCATGTGTCTCTCTCCTACTCGCTCTCCCCTCCGCCTCTCATATTACAGTGAGAATGGAGAAAAATGGAAGTCGAACTCTGGGAAATATTGGCTTTTAAAAATGTCAATATACGAAGCCATCGTGCGCTGATTTGGCAAGAAAATTGCAATTGCAATTGCAACCAACTTTTTGCGTTGTGCTCTCCTCCGCTCTGCTCTACTGTGCTGTGCTGTGCCGTGCTGAATCGCTGTTCCCTCACTCGCTCGTTGAGAAATTGTATTTCGTTTCATCAAATGAAGAAAAATCGTACATTTTTATAAGGCCAGTGCGAAGGGGGTCTACCATTGTCCAGAGCTTGGCGCCACAGTTGCTGCTGCTACTGCTGCTGCTTCTCTGGGTCCTTTTTCTTCTCCTGCTGAGTTCTGGATTGGAGAAAAGGAGCAGAGCAAGTACTACGTCACTTTGTTGTACCCTAGCAGGGGGGTGTTATGATGATTTTGAGCAGATGTTTGTTATGCAAGAAAAGCAGCTTCAATGCTTAAGTAGCTTTAATATCCATTGATGTAGTCAGCGAACGATGCGAAACAGCTTTTAGTATATTTTCATTGAAAAATGACAGCAACAAAACACTTTAAATACATCTTCCATTGAAACATAACCTAGGAAGGGTATCTTCAGCCTCGACTCAAAGCTCCATTTTATTTGTTCTTGTCTGTTATTGAATTTGACATATTTCTTCACTGTGTATCCATATGCACATATGTATGTACGGGTATGTGCATTGGTGTGTGTGTGCTTGCATGAGCATGTGTGAACAACGTTCGGCCAAGGGATTAGCGTCATTGCCATTTTTGGCGCATTTCTCATGTGCCCTAAGCTCCGCTAGTCGGATGCGACTCATCTCCTGCCCTGCCCTCCGCCACTCCTGCCTCCCCATCTTCTATCGTGTGACTGCAGTTTCGTCTTTGCATTGCTTCGTATCTGTGTGCGTGTGTGTGCGTGTGTGTGCGTGTGTGTATGGATATGTATTTGTCAATTTTCACTCACTTCATTTAAGTAAACACATTTGCTGCATTTCATATTTCCAGTCACGTTCCAGGCATAAATAACCCACACACCAACGCACACATACGCTGATAAACGTAACGGGACATATGCATGTACAGATACTTACGTATTGGTATAAGAACCTAGAAACGAGTTACGAGTCTTTGTTCTCATCTTCAGTTCCGCCAAATTTAAAAATATTTAAATGCGATATGAAATATGTATATATAGCACTAACTTTGAAGACTCTATATCATATTTCTATACACATTCGAATGTATAAATATACATAGGTACATCTATGTACATCTACCACCTTTACACAAATCGCGCTGAAATTCAAATTCAGAACACAAGTGTGTTGCATTTTAGCATTGCTTGACTTTACTTAGAGTTGTCACATGGGTCGTGCCGTGGCAGGGGTCTCATCGTCTAATACTAAACTTATGTACTTGTAGTGGAGTCATAAGTGAGAGGAGTCTGTTGACAATCCATTTGGAATCTCCCCTACAGCATCACATATCCTTTACCCTAACACACTCAGTCTTATTTGACATGAAAATGGCTTTCAAAAATATTGAATCCTGCGTTCTGAAGGCAGCTGAAATTTAATTTAGCCCAATCTCCAGTGCACTGTAAAACCAACATTGTGGCTGCCTTTTTTTTGTTTGCTCGGTCGGTAGCTGCTGCCAACAAAAGTTCTTGGCTAAAATATATAGGTATGTATGTTTGTACATAATTAACGATCCTTGGTCAATAGCTAAACAAATTCCAGAGCACCAGCGAAATTTGCAGCTGCTGCAAAGAGAGTTGGGGCGTGGCGCCGCCAACGTCGTCGTCGTCTGGCTGCCAGCAAACCGCAGGAAATTAAATTAAATCAAAATTGCATCGAAATTGCCAGCCATGAAGCGGTTATGGGCCAGAACTTCAAAACAAGAGTAAATCGTTGATGGCTTTGTTTGGACTAGAAGATATCTATTACATGCTGCGATTCCAAGGAAATTTGTAAACAGCCTCATCATTTTTGGACATGAATATGTGTGGCAATATGTGGCCCAACAAATATCAACTTTAAGGCCAACTAAATACGCCTCCAGGGACACTCAATGTTGGACAAATGCAACAATAATCCTAAGGCTGCAACCAATAAAAAGCTATCGATTTCAATGCAGGCTCAAACGATTTGAAATGATTGAATTTTGCAGCTTTTACAGCAGCTTAAAGCATGTTGATTGTTGCTTGTGTAGAGAATTTAAATTTCTTAACGCCCACAAAACGGTAAGCTTTCAAATCCAAACAATAAATGTGAAACAAATGCTCCAGCAAAAGCAACAATAGGAGTAGGGAGCAGAAAAACAGCACAGCAGTAGCTGGATAACAATGGAAATTTTGTAGTTGTGGAAGCAAAATTTTCCATATTGCTGAAATGCAATTGGAAAATGCTGCTTGCAGGCTTCCTCCCTTCTCCCGCCCATTCTGAAACACAGAAAACGAGAGGAGGAAAACATAAATAAACGTAACCATCAATAGTTCAATTCTCTGTGCTTCTGCATGATTTTGCGTGGAGTGTAATGGTTGCTTGGGGGGAGAATGTGGTCCTGTGTATGCGGACCGACTGCAACCGGCTCAACAAAATACATTGCACATTTATTTCTCAATTTATGCCAGGGGAATCTCTCCCTCTATCTCCCTCCTATTACCCATATGGACAGTTGCTGCAGTAGCATAGGAGTTCTCAGCAAAAGGATTGTAATTTTTTCCAAGCTTCCTTTTATCACTTCCTTTTTTTGTTCCCGGCCCTGGCCACAGGCATGTTATAGGAAAGGGTAAATGTTTTTTGAATGTTTTTTTTGGTTTACATGCATAGTTTTCACTGGCTTATATGGAGACTAATAGACTGTTTTCATTCCACTTTTTTCCCTTATCCAGGAACTACGACACTGGTCATATTTTTATTATATTTCACACCTCGTTTCACATTCAAATGTGAGGATTACATTTATATTTTACTGCCCAAACGAAACTACATCTATTAAATATTCGTAAAAGGGAGGGCAGTTTGGTATTGCTCTTAGTTTTAGGCAATTACAAAAGAGAATGCACAAGAATGCATGGAAATAGACATGACTCGTCGGCTAGTGTGTTTTGGCATGGTTTTAGAATATATGTTTTGGCACTAAGGGATTCTTTGCGGGACGGTTTCCCCCTTCTTCAATATACCTTGTGAGCAGACAAAAGTGTGGCAAAAACAGGGCAATGGAAATGGAAATGAAGACCAATGAATACTGCCATCCATTGATAGCTGCACAACAAATAAACAAGGCCTTCGAGCATACAATGTAAAAATCAACAACCAACGTTGCCAGATGAGCTGGAAACTCCTCTTCCCTGGCAACCCTGCCACAACATTGTGCAGACTTAAATGAGCGAGAAGAGAAAAACAGAGATATCTTTGTGCTAACTAATTGCTTCGCCTGCACACATCATCCATACATCCATCAGATCCATTTCCAGATCCGACTGGAGAAATCCTTTCTTTTTCTTCTTCGGCTGTCGAAACAAAAGCCACACCATTCCAGAACAAGGCCATAAACCTGCTGCCCCATTTACGCTTATCGTCTGTTGAACTGCTTGCCATACAGCCATCCTCCCCCCACCATTTAGATGCTGACTATCGTAGCCACCATGCGCCACATTTAGATACTGATTCCCGCTTGCCGTGTGGCTAATAAACCGTGTATATTTTATATCCCTCCACCCGGCAGAAGGACGGTAGACTGGGAGGCTTCGCATCACATTTTCATCAACGTGGAATCTATTTTATCGCACTCTTGCCCCCATTCCCTGGCACACATCTACATTTTATGGGCCCTGCAGCTATCCGTTCGTTCACATAACTCGTGGCGCCCACTATTTGTCTATTTTTACTGTCTACCGAACTCGGTTTATGGCCACCTGTCGTCTGTCCTGTAGTCCTTTTATACCCATGCCCATCCTTTCAACCTTCTATTGTGTGAATCTGTTTTTGGTAGACTTTTTTCTGATTTAATTAAAGGTCACAGCGGTGTGCTTCACAACAGAAGGAGGAGTAGAGTGCGTTGGAGAATTATGAATCGATATTAAATCGATTTGAGATAACTTTAGAGTCTGGAGAATTATTTATCTTTAAAGAAGAATCTTCTATTACTTTAAACTACAACTCAATCGTATGCCACATATTCTGAAAGCTGTCATGACTTCCACTCAAACTTGCATTTGTGGTGAAACTTTCTAGACACAATGCTGCAGATGTTGCCCCATTAGGTTACCCCCTCCCAAATCGATTTGGCCCAGAGCTGATGCAGTGAATAGACGACTTCCAAAGGGATGATGCGGATCAACAGGCAACATCAACACAAAATCAAATTGTCAAACAAATTTGATTAGTCGTCACTTGCACTTGCAAAGGCAAGGGATCTAATGTTCCCCAGATGACGATGATGGGTGGTCCACGCTTGTCTATCCCTTGTCCAGTGGACTTGAGTGAGTTCTTAGCAGACAGACGAGTGCGTAGGCAAAAGTGCTGAGATTGCGTAGAGTCCGGAACGATGTCTGCATGGAGATGAGCCGATGCGGATGCTTGCAAAGAAATAACAAGATTTCACGCTTGATTTTCACATCAAGAGCTGGATAAAGAAATGGAAAAAAATCCCTGTGTCGTGTGTGCAAATGAAACGAAGCAGCAAAGCAGAAGGCGAAGGCGGAGGTTGCTCCTGGATTCAGTCTGGGATTCTCAATTGTTTTTCATTGTAAAAAATTGAAGTTTACAAAGTTTCGCATTTGATGGAGATAAAGTGAAGAGATTCTGGTTTTTCTTTCGGCTCTTGTCCATGGGAGAAATTGGTTTGCTGTGCTGTTGACTTGCTACTATTCCGAAGACTCAATTTTCAAGAGGTGGTGCTCGCGCATGTTCTGCTCTAGGGCCAGCAGCAAGGCATCTAGAAAGTCGGATAGGAAAATCTTGCCATGCTGCTCGAAAAGTTCACTGGCGGTGTACTGGGCGTGGGCCAGCAGGGGCAGCTTTCGCAGTGTGCGACCGCTGAGGCCAACGCTGCGCTCTGACAGATTGGTGAGCAGTCCCTCCTCGATGTCTTCGACCTCGACAGCCTCGCACTCCACAATGCCCGCGGACATGAGCTCGACCAGCATGCTCTTGTAAATCGACCTGATGGCCGGCACGGCCGGATAGCCAATGTATTGCCGGATATCGGCTCTGTCCAAGAACGCGAGATCAATGCTCTGTGCCAGGTTGGAGGTGGCCAGAATGAGCACGTTGGGTCGCGTCTTGATTTCGTCCAGATGTGTCAGCAGCGCATTCACCACACGCATGGCATCTCGCGGTTCGTTGCTATTCATAGAACTGCGGGCATACGCCAGCGACTCCACCTCATCGATGAGCAGGCAAACCAGATTGTTGGAGTCCGCCACCAGCTCCCCGATCTTGGCAAACAGTTTGGCCACCAGCTTGCCACTCTCCGAGAACCACTTGGAGAACAGGCTGTGGCTGTTTATCTCCACCAGATGTGTGTAGGCATAGGCCTCATGCGTCCTGATGGCCAGCTTCTGTGCCAAGGCCTTGCAAAGGCTCGTCTTCCCAGTGCCGGGCGGGCCATGGAGCAGTATCAAACGATTGCAGGCAATCACATTCGTGTCCACGCGATGTTTTGAGAAGGTCAACGCAGACAAGGCGAATTTCAGCAGCTGCAAACACCACAAAGATGCATAAATTTGTCATTTGTCATTTGTCAAATAAGTTAAGAGCTTACCCTTTCCTTCAGTCCTTTCTCGAAAACCAGCGACTCCCACAAGCCCAAAAACTGTTGGGATGGCAGCAAGACGTGATTGGCATCTACGACAGCCCCGCCATCAGCATCGACGCTGCCATCAAAGAGCCCAGAGCCTGCGGATGCCGCAACTGCATGCGGCTTGTAGAAATGAAAGCAGAACGACATCGTCTCCTCATCGATCTCTGGCCTACCGCCGCAGTCACGCTCCAGCAGCACACTCGCAACCAACGAGGGGTCAACCTCCTTTAAGTTCGGCTTGAAGGCCACATTCTCGGGCAGGTTCCAATTTGATACCAGGAACGCGTTCACAGCCGGCGTCAATACAGATCGAAGTGCCGGTATTGGTCTATTAAAATAAGGGGCGAAATCAATTAAACTGCAACAGGTGTTGGTGTAGGACTTACTGGTCGGTGCTGTGCAGCCGTACTTCGACGTGCATTCTGCAGCTCATCTCGAAATTTTTGAAATTTTGCGGGAATCTAAAAAGTTTAATTGACAAGCGACGCCTCAGAAATGTGACCGTTCTCAAAAAGTCAAAAAAACGGAGCGAAGCAAGAAAATGCAGGGTGGAGGCTAGTATTAACATATCAACACATTTATTGCCCATTATCACTAGTTTTAGTATTTAATTGTTGACTCGAGGAAATATTTGTTGAATTTCTTCCAGCCGTATCGCTTTTTCGGATCTTTCTTGCTCCACGACGGACCCAGGTTGGGCATCAGGCCCGCCTTCTGGGCCATCGTCACCAGGGTGCCCATTTTCTTCTGCTGGCGATAGCACAGGCCGGTGATGCGCCTGGGCAGCATGCACCCGTCTGATCGGACGTACTGCGACAGGATGAGCACGTCGGTGTGCTTGATATCCAGGCCCAGCGTGCATTCCGGACAGAATTTGGTCTGACAGGCGGATTTCAGCAATTTCTCGGAACGCTCAGAGTCTATATTTACGCCCTCATATGTCCTCACATTGTTCTCCTGCTTCTCTTGGACTGCAAAGAATTTCGGTGAAAGGTTATGAAACAACCAAACGCCAAATCCAACTTACTCTGTTTTAACAGCTGCGGCGCGGTTGTGGCCACGCTCCGTGTCTGCCATATTGTGCTTCGGAGCGTGCTAGTCGCTACTTTTAGCAGGGAAGCCATTTTGCAGGTGGTTTTTATTAAAAACTTTATAAAACTAATTAAATGCGATGCAATGTTGTGATGGCTAAACTGCCATTCACTTGGAATAGGAAACAATCGAAAAAATACCACAAATACGCACACATGTGAATTGCGCTGGAATTACACGTACAACAAAGACGCAACGCCGGCGAATGAAAAAAAAAATATGTGTAAGCTAGACTTCAATTAAAGCGATTATACTTTATTAATTATAACCATTGCAGCTGCCTCAACTAGTAGCAAGAACACGCTTGTCTCCTCCATCATCTCCGGCATACTGAGCCTGGTTATCTTTGCCACGCTCCGTTTCTGCGCCGACTGGTTCAATGGCTCACAGTTGAATGTCTTGGTGGGCGGCTACCTCTTCTCCTGGCTCTTCATCTTGAGCCTCACCTGCGTATCCAATGCGGAAATGCTGATATTTGGCCAGGACTTTCAGGCCAAGCTAGTGCCGGAGATACTTTTCTGCATGTCCCTCACTGTGGCCGCTGCGGGCATTGTTCATCGTGTGTGTGCCACGACCAGGTAAATACGAGCGACTCCTTCCTGCCGCATATGGTTAATGTTGGTTATTCTTTCAGTATTTTGTTCTCTCTGGTGGGTTTGTACTTTCTCAATCGAATCTCCAGCAAGTATTATTCCACTGCTGTGGTGCCTCTAGACGCACCAGCCCGAAAGACTGCAAAGAAGTTCAAATGATGACCCGACAATCATGAATCGAATCTTAAAGCTTATGCTTTATGTTCTAATGAAAAAATATAAACTATAATTACACATACACTACGCTACTGTCTCAATGCCTACTTCCGATGTCGTTTCGATGTTTTCTTCAGTCAAATAACGCAATATATTTTGGTCTATAAAGCGCACTAGCTGTGAAGAAGTATGACATGTACATACATAAGTGGATCTCATTGGCTGAAGTTCTATTTCGTACGTACCTTAAAACCAGATTTACTTGAGAGATGTGTATGCTTCTCCTCGATCTTGTCGCGCAACGACGTGAACCATTCCGAGATTTCTGGGGCTATGGGCGGCATGTCGAATCCCTGGTAGCCCGCCTGCCTCAGCCCCAGATTGCACGAGTTGAGGGCCGTAGAACTCATAAGCAGAGAAAATGATTTGACTAGGATGTACGTCCTGCACAGTGACCAATCAGCTAGGATGGTTTCTTGGCTGATGGACTTAACCATGTTGTAGACCTCCCACATCTGCAAAAATATAGCTATTAGACAAGCGTTTGCCATCATTTCAATGGACTCACGTTACGATAAATGTGCAGAACTAGGGAGGTGTTGGACAGGACGCCTATGAAGGCGCGCAGCAGTCCCAGAGCAATCATCTTGCCCGTGTCGCAGGCCACCAGAATATGTGGCATCGCCTCCAGCATGTAGATATAACGGTGCTCTTCTTGGCAAGGTATCAGCTTAAAGCATTCCAGCATGGTTACAGTGGCATAGTGGATCATTGTGGGCTTCAGCGTATCCGAATAATTGAAGCTAGCGTTGAGCATCTCCAGGCGTTCATTGCACTGCCGTGGTCGATCCTTTTCCATCAGCAGGAACACCAGAACAGACACTGTGTATAGCGAAGTCACTTCCTCCAGGGTCAGGTAGTCAGCCATTAGTCTGAGAAAGCCCTGACGCAGCTGTAGTTATGATGATGAAAAGGATGATTAAATGAAGGCATTCAGGATCCATATACAGACGTATGTTTGTACCTACCTTGTCCACATCTGATTCCGACTGGGCTTCCACGCAGAAGCTGTAGCGCTGAAGAGCTCGCATACGCAAGAGAACATCACGAAACTGCTCATATTTAAATTCAGGAACGCTAAAATGGGCCAAATCCGATTGTTTTTCTTTAATCATTTTATCAAAAAACAAACCACCCAGCGGCAGGCCAGTTGTAGAGCTGGTCACACTTAAACATTACAAATTAAAGGTATTTTACACTTTTCGGGATATTTTATCATCTTGGAGAAGATGATTTTATAGAATTGAGAAAATGTTGGAAATTTCAGGCTACAGTCAAAGCAAATACTAGTCAGTCCCAAAAGGGATAAAACCATGTCATTCTAAATTTATTCTTAATGTATAAAAGCAGCTTGTAAAGACGAATTTAAATATTTTAATTTTAATACCATACAAAGGTATATCGGATGACAAGCAACAAGTGGTAAAATACGTAAGATTGAATTCACGCTTACGTTACATTCCTGGGTTTTATGCTTTTTAGTTTAAACTAATCTAGCATATCTTGTTGATAATTGATTAATGAATCTGATAAAACTAAAGTTTTAGCGCTGAGAATCCCAACAAGCTGGTAATTTAAAAAGAAAATCAAAATCGAGGAAAATTGTTTTTTTGTAGTCCGCATTGACAAGGTACAAATGTTACTAAAAATTTTGAACTAAAAAAAAAGTTTACCGAACGAACAAAAATTGTTTAGGATTACGTTATATGTAAGTGTGAACGTATATTATTTTTGGTATATATCTGTGGGATTCGGTGAATAGGTAGACGATAATGATTATTTTTTCATCATTATCCTGCGTTCCGGTGTAATTTCAATGTATTTCGACGCCACACCACTCCGAGTCAATTATATTAATTACTTATGTTCCCTTTGTGCAGTTTTCATAAAAAAAAATTTCTTTTCATCTTATGTTAAAGAAGTTAAAATACATGTGTCTACATTTTACATACATTTACAAACTGAACACAAGGTTCCCTTGCTTCCAGAAGGGGTGATTTGAATCAAAATTAAAATACAAATTCTTAAAATATAAGGTCATGAGGTGTACAATCCAATAAAAATTAGTATTTAAAATAAGTCAAATTGATTCTTCAAACGGATTGAATTATTGTTTCAGTGTCAAAAGTCTTTGCAAGCTGGTAATATTGAATAGAACATAAAAATCGAGGAATAGCATATAAGACTACGGTATATTTACAGTATATATTGAAAATGCAAGGGTATATTTTGGTATATTTTTGAGGGTCATGCGGTATGTTTGACCGACAGTCACACTATAAACAAAAATTCGTGAGGTGCAGACAAAATTTTTCGACAAAAAACAGCTCAAACAGCTACACAAAAGTTACTTTTATTCCCAGCAAAACAGATTTTTTTGTTTTAATCGTAAGTACCAAGCCAAATGTATACATATTATTAAGCCCAGCACATTTCGAAAGTGAGAGAAATAGAATTTTCCATTCCGCCATTGACGGCCATGTCTCTTTTTTCTTTGTCGAAGAAAAGGTTATGTACGAATCGGTATGTATCATACATGCATGCATACATACTAATGTATTAACGAGGTTTACTCATCAAGTAGCCAGCCAGCAGCCGTTCACGCAATAAACCATTTAGGCGCAGTTGGTTAGGCCTTTGTTCGACTGTACCCCTGCTTATACATGGCTACGTATGAACATTATTTAATAAAAGCCGCAGAAATATGCATACCTTGGCCCCTTGTCCCTACCCTTCCTCTATTCGTGTAGTATGACAAAGTGTCGCTTCAAAATGGCGCCGAACCACATGTCTCTTCGTTATCGTCTCTCGTCGAACGGTTCGGCACGATTCGTGTGTGTCATTCGCTTTCTGAATTTCATTTAACAAAGTGGTGTGCGCAGGCCAGGACTGACCGGGGGCGCTGAGAACTTGAAGCGAACATAATACTTAGTAACCGATTGTGATAGCTGTTAAAAATAGAATTCCGGACAAAGTCTGAAATTTAAATTCACAAAATTGTAATCACTCAATACAAATTCGAAAACGTAAATTCCGTTATAAGATTTTGTCCTTTTCTCTCTCTTCTGCTTTTGTCGACTTTGTGGTGCTGAGTGTGTGTGTGCGTGCGTGTCAATTTTGCAGTGCAAAAAAGCTCGTAAGCTAGAAAAGACCGTTGTCGGCGAAAACGAAATATATTCTACATCTGGCTTGATCTGTGTCCGTCTGTGTTTAACGTGTGTGTATTGGTAATCGCTGTGCGAGGTTAAATTAAATTACACATTTTAAACCCCACACACACACACACACACACAGCCGTAGCTCTCTCTTTAAATTGTGAAAAGCAACAGGCACACACGCACACATACTCATTAAAATTCTCCCTTGAATCACACAAATCAGCCCCCCCTGCAAATTAAATAACTGACGAGGACACGCGGAAGCGGCAAAAAAAAGGCCAAACTTATTTCCGTTAAGCGAAAGTGTAAGTTTACGTTTGTCTTTGTTCAATTTTTCTCCATCTCTATGTATTCGCTAATTGAATGTTTGTGTACTTGGAAATGACAGCGTATTTTCCATCTTTTGGCGTTTCTGCGTTTTTTCCCCCCGCAACCAACGGGACCACACGCACACATTGACACAAAGGTACGAGTGTGTCTTGTATGTACAATGACCTCGTTTCCCTTGCTCCGAGCTCTGCCCGAACTGCTCCACAAGTAACAACGTCAAAAATTTCACTTTATTCTCGACAGTTTCTTTGTCGAATTTCGTGTATAGGCGGGTCGTTCCCTTGCCTTGCTTTTACAGTTTTTCTTCTTTCTTTGCTCCGCTTTTTTCTGTAGCTCTGCTGCTCTTGTTGGTTTTCTGTACTTCTCGCCTTACTTTTTCCATCGTTCTTCATCTCGAGTTGCCTTTCAGTGGTTCTTCTGCTCGCGTTGCTTCTCCCTTCTTCTTTCGGCATTATCAAACTGTAAAAAGATTGTGTCTGTGTGTTCGCGCTCTCTTGCTCTCTCTCTCTCTCTCTGCACTATTGTGTTTGTGCTTGGGCATGTGTGTGAAAGCACATGTACACTCGGCAGGCGAGGATTTTAAGGTTAGGCAGCATTTCAAATGCTCGCAACATTTAAAACAACAAAACGTCCGATTGGAAAGCTAGTACTTGTGAATCGATCTTGTGACCTTGCTTATAAACTCAACCAGTTTAAAGTTGAACATTTAACTGATATAAGCACTAAATTAATTGTGAAACGTTTACACATTCATCTATCTGCAGCAATTTATTGTATGAGTCAAAAAATAGAAAGACCAGTGCTATCGGGTCAACGCATCAAGACCAGAAAAAGAGATGAAAGAGAAAAATATGACCCAACGGGATTCCGTGATGCGGTCATTGCTGGTCTCGAAAAAACTGATGGCGACTTGGAGCAAATCTCTAAATATCTAGACATCGCGGGCAACAAGCTCGACTATCGTCGCTACGGTGAAGTTCTCTTTGATATATTGATTGCGGGTGGTCTATTAGGTAAGTAACACTTAACAACTGCCTGTTCCATCGATAATCATAGTCATAACATTCGTAATGCTCTATATTTCAGTGCCTGGTGGTTCCATTTCTCAGGATGGCGAAAAGCCGCGCACCAATTACTGCATCTTCGATGCCCCCGAGAGCATGGAATCCATGCGCAACCATGAGCAGGTTTGTTTACACTTAAAAGATCATATATCCGAATCGATCCGATCCAATTCCTGCGTGTGGCTGTGTTTGCATATAATTAGAACTGATTACAAGCTCAAAAATGTAGTCGGTGTCAGATTATGCCACATGAATCGCCACATATTTACTTGTCTTTGGTTTGTTGTAAACAACCTAACGATCCGAAGATTTCTTATGTGTCAACAACAGCTGCTATAGTATACATTATATACAGTACACTCACACCTGGAGGGTCACCTTTTTCAATTGCATATTATTAGAACCGGTTACCTTATCTAAACTTTGCAATCGGTGTCAAAATATGCAACATGAAAAGCAACATTTTACTTGTCTTTATTTTGTGTAAAAAATAAAACCAACAATCTAAAGATTTCTTCTGTTGCAACAAAATTAAAACTCGTTGAAGATAATCAAGTAAAAGTAAAGAACTTTCAGTAAATGTATAATATTTTCGTTTTCAGGTATTTGTCAAGCTCATCAGACGGTACAAGTACCTCGAGAAAATGTTCGAAGAGGAGATGGGTAAAGTTCTATTGTTCGTAAAGGGCTTTACTCCAAGTGAACGCATCAAGCTTGCGCGAATGACTGCGCTCTGGTTAGGTAAGTGTTCAGAGAACCCTTGAGCTCCTTAGAGCCCACCCAGCGTACATATAGTCGAGTCTAGATAGACCCTTGTTCGATTTACAGCTGAGATTGGGCTAAAGTAAAAGTTACTCTTGGTATACTGACTCTTGGATGCAAATTTAACCAAATCCAAAAGCCACGAGCCCAAGGACAAGAATAAATCAATTTTCCTAGCTTTCTTCGCTACATTTTATAAAACGAACCTAATTCTTATTGATAACCTTATCTTGTTCTCAGTTAATGGCTCTGTACCGCCTAATGTGTTATTGGTACTAAATAACGAGCATCTGATCAAGGATGGCATTGCACTAGAGTTTCTACTGGAGCTATTTCAGACGTTCAAGCAAGAGAAGGGCATTGCATATCTGATTCAGGCGCTTAAGAAGGGTGGACTGGAAAGCAAGTAAGTTTTTCATTTAAATTATTGTCTTTATGGAATGTTCTCAGGAAGATGTTATAACCAATCAGTTGTGTATCTTTAATTGATGTTCCTAGAGTAATTTTAATGGAGTTTTATTTAATTCGCAAATGAACATTTAGCTTCATTTGGGTGTCGATTTAATTTCGTACACTTATAAAAGTTTATTAGTCCGAATATGGAATGTTCTCAGGAAGATGTTATAACCATTCAGTTGTGTATCTTTAATTGATGTTCCTAGAATAAATTTCGTGGAGTTTTATTTAATTCGCAAATGAACTGCTGCTTCATTTGGGTGTCGATTTAATTTCTTACAAAACTATAAGATAAATAAATTTAAGATTATTTTCGTGGTATGTTTATTAATAGGTACATATTATTATTATTTCTCCTTTAAGACTTATGGACTTTTTCCCACCAAACAAACGTACTGAGGAATATTTTAAACAAGTTTTTCTTGACAAGGAACTCAATGAGATCGTCAAGCTGCATAAGGCGCAGGCCAGCCAGGAGGCCAAGCGTGAGCTTCAGCAGACCCTCATCGATGATATCAACGATGAGAAGGCACACAATGAGATAACCGCTGACATTAAAGAGTTTTCGGCACGCAACAACATTCCCGATCATGAAATAATTGTTATTGTAAGTCAATCAAACGATTGATTGCCGAGAGGGAGACTTTAATTGAATAATTTTTTATTTTTGTGCACAGATTTGGTCTACCATCATGTCGTTGGGCGAATGGAACAAGAAGGAGGAACTGGTCACTGATCAGGCTGTTCGTCACTTGAAGACGTACTGCACTTTGTTTAAGGCATTCGCCTCAACAGACCGCTCGGAATTGGCCCTGATCCTTAAGGTTCAGGAGTTCTGCTATGAGAATATGAACTTCATGAAGGCCTTCCAGAAGATCATATTGTTGTTCTACAAAACAGAGGTCATCTCCGAGGAGATCATCTTGCGCTGGTACAAGGATGGTCATTCCAACAAAGGCAAAATGCATTTCCTCGAACAAATGCGCAAGTTTGTCGAATGGCTGCAATCAGCCGAAGAAGGTAAATTAAATATATGCTTTATAACGAAAATGTTCGGGTTGATATGAGTGCAATTTTTGAGAATGGTCTTGTCCTGGATGGCACTTTCGTTGTACAAAATTGCAAGAGCATTTGGGTTTTTTGCTTGCCTCGTTGCTCCATAATAAAACCAGAGCAACGCAGGCCAATGAAAACCTGGACAAAATTATGATATTATACTCGCATGCCTCTAACCAAAATCTTGGAGTGCTACAGACTCCATTGTGCACAATTCCAAGAGGTTAATTTCGGTCATGCCAAAGCAAATGAATGATTGGGTGTCCATATAACTATTCATAGTTACATTTGGCCAATAATCGTTTGGACAGACAATTCATCTTTAGTCAAATTTGCGTTGCATAGTCCCAAAGAGAACTCCCATCAGTTCTTAGCTCCGAATCAATCCAAAGTTCGTTGCAGCCATGAGGATATTATGCCAAAAGAAATTGGGTCTTATGGTTGCTTCTCTGTTTCACATAACGCTACAGCAGCTCCGATCTCTCAGTTACCCCAGACACAATTATGGTACTCTATGCCGCATGCCTCTAACCAAAATCTTGGAGTGCTACAGACTCCATTGTGCACAATTCCAAGAGGTTAATTTCGGTCATGCCAAAGCAAATGAATGATTGGGTGTCCATATAACTATTCATAGTTACATTTGGCCAATAATCGTTTGGACAGCCACATAATAAAAATTTAACTTTTTTTGTTGGATCTTTATAAGACGTTTATTAATGTTTGTAATTTTAATTTTCTAATCTTTCTAGAATCCGAATCTGAGGACGAACAAAAGAATGGCGATTAAACGCGGAGCCGCTCTCCCATAAGCAAACCATCCACATACAGACACACATCTGCAACATCCCCTCCATAGATATGCATAGCCAGCCCACATCCCAAATATCCACCCAAGGCAATGGCGAAGAGAGAGAATTTCTAAATTAATGTATACCCCACCACCCCCTCAATCCTCAATCAGTTCCCGATTTGTGAATGCAATATATTTCTTAACTATACAACAACAGCAAACGGATAGAATTGTGTTAATAAAGGTTAAAAGATTTACAATTACCAAAAAACAACTTATCACCACACACATGCAAATACACAGAAGAGGCATCTCGAACAAGAAATTTGAAAGAATTGAACGCATTATAATCCATAAAATTGAATGGAACATCCCAGATGTATTCGCCATATTCGAAAATGGACTGCAGGCCCGTTTGTATTTTCGCAATTATTTATTTAACAAATTACCCCCGGCACATATGCATATATTAAATGAAAAGAAAAAAGTAATTAGTATTCACCTTCGAGAGCGCGGCGCCAAGCCAGTATGGAATTTGACATGATTATCTTAGAAGTAAAGATTTGGAAAAGATGATTAAATAATGACTTGCATGCAAGGACACCACCAGTTTCAACGCAAATTATTATGTGAACAAAGCGTATGGAATTACGAATACTTGAATTGCATGAAAAGGTACATATATGTATACAACAACAAAATAAATGAAATACAAATGTAACAGATGAGAAAATTGCTGTGTTTTTCTGTCCTGGCTATAAAGCAATGATTGCGAATTTCAATGTGGGATGCGTTAGAATTTAATCCATTTTAAATGTTCTCTTTTATACCCCTCGAAACCATGTAGGTATACTTTTAGCACACACTATACGGTTTTACGATCACAGTAATGTCGATTGTGCCATATATCGATACATGTGTCGAAAAGTGAGACCAGCCTGGTGTCATACACCAAAAGAGTTCTTATCGGATTTAAATGCATAAACATAATTAAGCGTACTTTTGATTTGTTATTATGTTATATTACCATACGAACATAGTATTACCTGCATATCACTATTACTATCACTCGCTTATGAGAAATTAGGCTGCAATCGGAGTGACAATTTACGAAAGTTAACCATTGCCAACTGGGAATGTTGTTAAATACTTATAAGGGTCCCCAGTTGCTGCTTCAGTTAATCAGGGCAGTGAATTCCTCCCTATATTCAGTAAACCACCAATCCTACGATTATTATTAAAGCTTTCGGCTAAGTAATGTTTGCTCCCTGGAGTGCAAAAAGACTTGGATTCGCTTAGTTTAGTTTTTGGAAATACTGTTTTTATTCAACATAAATTTTTTGTTTAAAAGTAATTTTTCTTGCATTTCTCGTATTTCATTTAATGTATATAGTACTCGATGTTATATAATAACGCATATGCTATTTGTTTTTGTATTTTTGTTGTTGTTTTGCTAAATTTGTAGTTATTATTCATCATATTTGAACAATTGCAATTGGTGTGTAACTTGGTTAGAAATGAGCCTGGGGAAGAATACACTATGAACGAACATTTGGGCGAGAACATTCAGATAAAAACTTTAAAAATTATTCTGATGCATGTGCAGTGGTGGCAGTTGGCAGGTCGCAAGGCAGCAGCAGCAATTCCATAAATTGTTTTAATCCATAATTTCCATTTTTTTTTTAAGTTTTTTATATAGTTTTTGTTAAGTTATCCTTTAGTTAAGTATATATATATATATATATTTAAATGGTTTTTGTAGAGTGGAAGCTGGATTTGAGGGTCAACAAATTTAGCTACTTATGGGCCATACTTGGCAATACTTCAATCAGTGAGTTTCGGTTGGGTTTTCGGATGTGTTTATGGGTGCGCGTGCTTGCTTTTGATTTTGGTAACTGTGTGTATTCGTTACGTGTCCAACAACAGACATTGAATGAGGATTAATGATGATATTTGCGTGTATCCTGTGCCAGTGGCAATTGCGCAAGCGTACGTCACCTTCGGTTCAGCGAAATCAGACCGATATCCGATCCATTTCGGTGCTCCGGCAGGCAACAATGCTGAGTGTACGTTTGCACAGACTACCAGTGGCATCTGTGACTGCTGCTGCTGCTGCTGCTACTGCATCTCCTCACACTGCTGCACATGAATAATTACAAACATAGACACATTTGTTTAACAAAGACTATAGACGACAGAAATTAATGTACAATAATATAGTAAATAACGCAAAGAACAAGGGGAGGGTTGAAAACGAATAAATCAAAGGACAGGAATGTATGCAAAAAAATATTTCAAGTGTATGCGCCTGTGGTTCAGCAAATATACATTTAGGTTTAAAAAATAAACGAACAAACTTTAACAAACTCGTATTACAATGCACTTTTTGCTTTTCTTTTCTTTCTTTTCGTATGCTGATAGGATTTTGTGTATGCCTAAAATATTTATATATGTATATAGTAATTATTGGCATACATATACATATGCAAATGGTGTGGGTGTATGGATATCTCATATAACTGAAGACCGAAACGGGCCGGGGGAGGGGGCTCTTGAGTGTGTGATTGTTTCAGGATCAATCAGAACTATACAAAGACAACGGCAATATAATTTATAATTGAATACAATCCCTACATAGACACCAGACCTGGCTATGGCCTGACATGAGGATGAGTTTTACGTTGATTTTTTGTTTTGCTGTGGGTGGAGTTTTATATTAATCTTGAACTTTTCCTGCTGGTATTATTGGTTGTTGGTTTCTTCTTCTTGTTCATCTTCTGCATGCACTTAACAATTTAGTCGGTGAATTTACGGTTGACATTGCGGCCGAACAGGGCGTTACGGATCTCTGGCACAAGCTGCTGGGAGATCAACTCTAATCTGGACTCCAGCGTGTTGGGCACCTGCAAACAAATTGAATTCAAGTTCAAGGCAAATTTAATACAGTGGGGTGCTAATATAGTGGGGTGTGGAACGCACCTTAATGCGTCCGTTGAGGGCCAACAGCTCTACACCACCGCAGGTATCAGCAGAGAGGAAGTTTGTCTCGTCAATGATGAGATCGACATTCTGCTTCATTTGGGCTTTGTACTGTTCGACAGCTTGGGGCAGAATGTCGCGGATCAGCGACACATCGACCTGGCGGCAACGCAGTGTCACCTTGGGCTCCATCACCTGGAAGAGGCCCTGGACAATCAGCTTGGTCACGACGGCCTTGTATTCGCCCTCGTTCTTGGTGACCTCGCCCAGACGTTTGCGGGCATCATCCAGGACATTGCTCACATGATCCTCGCGCACTTTCAGTACCTAACAACACACAGATACGGTTTTAGATGGAATATCCTTAAAGGGAGGCGGGGAATTCAGACACACACCTTCAAGCGAGCTTGGTTGAGCATGTTGGATGACTGGATTTTCTTCTGGAGTTCCACCTGTTTCTCCTTCTTCTCGTAGTACTCCATGATCTTGAGACGCTGCTGTTGCACGAGGCGTCCCTTCTCAATGTTGAACTCCTCCTCGGCTTTGGCATCGATCTCCTCGGCTTTTTCATTGGCTTCCTGCTCAATGAACGCCATCATGTGTTTGATCTGAAAACGGCATCACAAGCCATTACGTTAACAATTTGTTCAACATTTCATCCTTTATTTTTTCCCCCATTTATTTATTTAGTTTGCTTGAAAGTTTTCGTTTTTTTCGGCTGATAACGTAAGGGGGTGGTTGGGAGGGGGGTTTGCTGGTCGTGTGACAGAGTGTGTGGAGGGGCAGCATCGCAAACACCCACTAGTTGTCTCGCTTCAACACATTGCACTCAATGGTGGAGCCCGTGTCACATGACCAACACGAATTTTTCTACTCACTTTTTGCGTGGAGCATTTAAATAAATAACCAAAATTTATACCAAGCAAAAGGTTTCATTTACAAAATAAGATGGCATGTCGAAAGAGTGATAACCCAATAAGGCAGCCAGGCTGTTGCCAATAGGAATGTGCTGCCATGAGAAATTCACATGACTTCAAATTCACTGACTGGATCCCATGACTTCGCCATCTTTTTGGCTGATTGCATATTAAAAAACACAATTTTCAATTGAAACCCTGCCCCTACACAGGACCATATTGACTGTCTTTGCCTTATAACATTACTTTTAATCATTTTCATCTCATATTTACCTGTTTCTGTACATCAGCGTCGCTCAATGCCATCTTGACTGATTTTTTTCACTTGCACGAAACCGAAAAGAAATTCAACTGTTCCAAAGAAATCCACGTGTAACCGTGCCTGTAATAGTTGTAATTTCAATGTAAATTATATGCCCCGTCAAATGTTTAATGTGCAACTCCAGACAATACGAGGAAATGTGGAAAACGATTAAGTTACTTTTTTGCCTTCTGCCCGACGTCTGTCTGAAAAATTTTCACTGCAAATCGATCATATGATTTTAGAGTGTGACCCTTTGCCTGCAAGTAGAGATGTATCTTACGATATCGATATATTTTTGTATTTGGGACAGAGTAATCAAGTGAATGGCAAAATATATACCGATATATATCGATACATTTACATTTATTATTTACCATCCCTACTGCCTGTACACACGCGAAATTTATGAAAATTTGTTTTTTCTTTTGGGAATAAACGATAATTAAACCTGAAAACTTCAACTTAAACTCCACGATTCAAGTGCAATGGAGACGCTCCTGGAGCAGCAGCGCCGATACCATGAAGAGCGCGAGCGCCTCGTTAAGTTGATGGTGGATGAGCACGCGACCAAAAAGCCGGGAGAAAAGGAACGCATTCATTCGGAGCACAGGCTGAAATATCTTATGGAGCTGCATCATAATGCCACAACACAACTGCGAGACCTTTACGAGGACAAGGACAACGAGAGGAAGCAGGAGATTGCGGCCCTGTCGGGGCCCAACGAATTCAACGAGTTTTATGCCCGCCTAAAGCAGATCAAGCTGTTCTACAAATCCCATCCGGCTGAAGTGAGTGTGCCGCTGTCCGTGGAGTTTGACGACATGATCAAGGTATACAACAATCCCGATGACATGAGTGCGCTCGTGGAGTTTACCGACGAGGAAGGCGGCGGCCGGTATTTGGATCTGAACGAGTGCTACGAGCTCTACCTGAACTTGAGGGCTGTCGAAAAGCTAGACTACATTGCGTATTTAATGTCCTTCGATCATGTGTTTGATATTCCGCGAGAGCGCAAGAACCGCGAGTACAGAAAGTACATTGAGACACTGAACGAATACCTGCACAACTTCATTCTACGCATTCAGCCGCTGCTGGATCTGGAGGGGGAACTGGTCAAGGTGGAGCTCGATTTCCAGCGTCAGTGGCTGCAGGGTACCTTTCCCGGCTGGTCGCTAAAGGAGACCGAGTCGGCGCTGGCCAATACGGGCGCTCACCTAGATCTCTCGGCGTTCTCGAGCTGGGAGGAGTTGGCCTCCCTGGGTCTGGATCGTCTGAAGTCTGCGCTGGTTGCCCTGGGACTAAAGTGTGGCGGCACTCTGGAGGAGCGTGCCCAGCGCTTGTTTTCCACAAAGGGCAAAAGCACCCTCGACCCCGCTCTGATGGCCAAGAAGCCCAGCGCAAAAAGTGCCAATGCACAGTCGAAGGAGCATGAACGCAGCAAAGATATCGCCCAACTGGAGGCGCTGCTCTATAAATACGCCGAGCTGCTGTCCGAGCAGCGGGCGGCCACCAAGGAGAACGTACAGCGGAAACAGGCGCGCACAGGCGGCGAGCGCGACGATAGCGATGTGGAGGCCAGCGAGTCAGATAACGACGATGATCCCGATGCCGATGACGTGCCGTATAATCCCAAAAACTTGCCCCTGGGCTGGGACGGCAAGCCCATACCCTACTGGCTGTACAAGCTGCATGGCCTGAACATTAGCTACAACTGCGAGATCTGCGGCAACTTTACCTACAAGGGGCCCAAGGCATTTCAGCGGCACTTTGCCGAATGGCGACACGCGCACGGCATGCGGTGTCTCGGTATACCCAATACGGCGCATTTTGCGAATGTGACCCAGATCGAGGACGCCATCACGTTGTGGGAGAAGCTGAAGTCGCAAAAGCAGAGCGAGCGCTGGATAGCCGACCAGGAGGAGGAGTACGAGGACTCCCTGGGCAATGTGGTCAATCGCAAGACATTTGAGGACTTGAAGCGTCAAGGACTGCTCTAGAATATATGTATGTAGGATATACACACTGATTCAATGTAACATTTTGATTTAATACAAACAATTATCAACCGGAAATATCAATCATCTCAAGCAAAGATGCGTGCCTGCATTTTCAGTCCCACATTGTCGACTGTGGCCAGCGGCAGCAGGCATACTTTCGGTGATCGCGCGTCCATCTGTTGTGGAGTCTCGGCCTGCAGCCAGGGAAAGTCCTGGTACTGTGCCTCGTGGCTGAATTGGACAAAGGCCGTCTGTGTTGTGTGCAAATGCACCTTGAACTGGCAGTTGCCGGGAAGCTTCGGCAACGGCTTGACGCGCTCCGACAGCTTGTGCAGAGCGACACGCAGTTGCTGCTCGTACTCGATCAGGTGCGGATCCTCGGCTGGCTGCCTGGCGGCCCCCGACTCCAAAATATCTAACTGCAGCATATAGCTCTCGAGTGGCTGGTTCTCGCTGTGATACAGAATGATCTCAAAGCACTTCAGTTCTCGCCGGTCAAGTAGCTCCCGCGCAGATCGCAGAACGCCGGCAAGGTATGTATTCAGCGGGGGATAGATCGATACGTATACCGGTGTGTTGTAGATGCGTCGCTTCTTGAAGATTTGTGTCGGATATATGCCGCGCACGTACAGAATGTGATTCAGAAACACCTCAATGGCCTCCAAGTGTATATCATTCGCATATTCCGACTGCATTTTGCAAACAAAAAATTATAGGTATTTCGCAAAATTGCGATATTTGTAAATATCGATAGTGCCCCCGCTGTTGTGTGGCAATTTCGAAGATGATTTCCACTGCCCTGCCAAAGACTTCATTCACTTTCCTAAATAAATAGGAGTCATTTATTGATTTTTGGTTTGTGTTATTTTCACTTCAGGCAAGAAAATACTACGCTAGAGAGCTTGAAGTTGTCTTGATCTGAAAAATCGTATTGTCAGAATAAGAGAACGTATATTCGAACTCTAGCAAAAAGGATTCAAATCGGTCATTGACCTTTCAATCTTGCAAAATAGTTAAACTCTTTTTGTTTAGCTTTCTGATCGTATTTTGAATCGATTTATTCAGCATCTAATTTTTCGAGATTCTGTTAATGAACCGACAGTAAAATACCCTTACAAAAATCAATGCAAGATGATGAAATGAGTTGGTGGGCTTCCAGTGCGAATTTGATTATTCAACAAGCCCGAGCATCACCATAGATCCCTAAAATGAATTAACTTACCTTTTATTTTTATGTTAGTCAAGCAAACCATTTGATTTATGTATGCTGACAAATAAAAGTCAGCGCCGTTGCAAATGCAAGTCCGGCAGGGTTGTGTTTTTTTCGCCGACGATGCATCCAGCGGCAAACTATCGAATGCGCATATTGGCCTAGAACTGCCATCTTTAGCTGAAAAAATGGCTGAAATCCAAGTGTGTGTGTGAACAAAATTTGTATGAGAAAATTTGCGTGTAAAACATATACGAAATATATCTTTGACTTCTACCGAAAAAGGCGTTCTCCCGTGCGCCATTGTAGATAGTTGAAACGAGTGTGCACACGAAAATGCAAGTGTATGATTAACTAATCGGCTAACAAAAAAAGAAAAACGAGTGATTGATGCCTTCCCTTCGGCCTCTGCGGACTGCAATTACAGACGGGTCACAAAATTCTCTGGGCTCCCTCCTTGGTGAAAACTGAAAATGATGTAGCTGCAGAAGCGAGAAAAGAATAGAAGAGAAGAACCGCTGAACAGAACCGAAGAAATAGCGGCATAGATGAATATTCAGCGAAAAGAATATTCCCTATATGTAATACAAGACCGACTATTCAAAGTGTACATATACACATCTATAACCTGATATACACATACGCAGTTGCATCAGCATGCCTGACCGTGATTCGGCTTCTGATTCCGGTGATTGCAGCCGTCTCGGAGGCGCTAAAATGAATCAGCAGCAGCAACAGCAGCCGTCTTGCAGCAAAAACTCTGCGCCGGAGAAGAGGAATCGACGCATCATCATGCGCATCGAATTCAATGACTCTGACGACACTGACGAAGCCAACCCCCCCAACCCTGGCGATGATCCTGACCTTGACGCGCGACCATCTTGCTCGTCGGCGGCCACGCGTTTGTGTCGCAGCGCCCGCCGACAGCGACGTCCACCTGCCATTCAAGATTCCGACTCGGATGCCGTGCAAAGAAGATCCACGCGCAATCGAAGAACCCGCTATGGACCACAAAGTGATGACTGCTCCTCCAGCGGCAGTGAGGTACACAAATACATAAACTAAAGCCCATTTTGCACTGAATTGACTGTTTGCTAATCCTTATGCTAAATTATTTTAGATCGAACAACGCCCCAAGCGATTGCACGGACAAAGCGGCAAGAGGAAAAAGCTAGAGTCCGATGAGGAAGAACCAAGCGACGAAGATGAGGCCAAGACGAGGCTCAGCCCCAGGCCTGCGCCAGCGGAGGATCCCGGTTTCAGCTCCGACAGCAGCAGCAACGAGCTGTTGGAAAAGTGTCCCATTTGTTTGTTTACCTTTCGGCAGCAGGAGATTGGGACGCCGGCCACATGCGAGCACATCTTTTGTGCGCCCTGCATTGAGGCATGGTCGAAGAATGTCCAAACCTGTCCCATCGATCGGATAACCTTCGACAGGATCGTGGTGCGGGACAACTATGCCGATCGCAATGTGGTGCGTGAGGTTCGCGTGGATCTGAGCAAATCAAAGACGGAACTGACCCTGGAGGAAGAGGAGGACGCGGATGCCACTGTGGCCGATGTTACCAACTGCGAGATATGCAACAGTCCGGAGCGGGAGGATGTGATGTTGCTCTGCGACAGCTGCAATCAGGGATACCACATGGACTGTCTGGATCCGCCGCTGCACGAGATCCCAGAGGGCTCCTGGTACTGCGACGAATGCATCGACTCCAACGATGAGAATTCCGATGATAACCTCGACCTGGCCGAGGACCTGAACATGCTGTACGAGGACATCCGTGGCATGGGTCTGCCCGAGACGCGTCTGCGCGTGAGAGAGGTTCAGCAACAGCCAAGGATACTCCGAACCCGCCAAAACGAACGCATTCGCGCTGCTGTTTTGCGTCGCACCCGTGCCGTCACATCAGCGGAGGCCGCCTCCGGCTCCACCACCACACATACCCGTACCACCCGTACCACAACCACAACGACAACAACCACACGCACCACAACAAACCGTAGACAAACGACGCAGCGGCGAAGGCGTCGCCGCACACGACATCGCACCTATGTCGTAGAGTATGACCTCAATAACTTTGACGAGAAGTTTGCCCTGAAGACGACCAGCAAGAAGGTCATACGTCGTCGTCGGCGGCGACGTCGTCGAGTGGTTGCCTCGTCGGCCAGCGATGAAACGGGCCGACGTCGTCTGACTGCCAGCAAAAGGCTGGCGGAGCAGCTGGGCGTCAAGGCGGATGGTCTGCGTTCGTATCTGAGTGGGGGAAATGCCTCCAGCTTCACGCTGTTTGGCAATGCCAACGATCTGGAGTACTTTTCGGACAGTGAGGCCGGGCAGGACGAAGCTGGAGCTGGAGCAGGAGCAGGAACTGGACTGGGCGCCACAGCAGTGCAGACGTCGGTACGCATTGCCAGCATCGGCAATCCTCGCACACGCAAGACCCTGCTACAGGGCAAGGCGCGTACAGCGGCCACAACGTCAGGGTCATCGGCCAGCGATATTCTGTCCAGCATCTTGGATCTGCAGGATCGCTGGCATGGGGCGACGCGCAACCTTAGCGAAGTGCAGATCAGTGCCGATGGGAGTCTGAATCTGCCTCAGCGTGTGGCAGCGCCAGCACCAGCATCCACTGCAGCAGCCTCAAAGCCACTCACGGAACCCATCACCCAGGCACCGGTCTATCAGCGCGGAGGCGCCGGACCCAACTTTAGTCGTGGCGGCGGTGGCGGTGGCTCTGGCAATCGCTACGGTGGTAACAGCAACTACAACAGAGGCGGAGGTGGTGCTGCTGGCAATCAATATCAGCGGCACTCTTCGGGCGGTGACGGCGGTGGAGGCAGCAGTCAAGGCGGCAGCGGTTTCAGTCAGAATTTCAACAATAGTAACCAAGGCGGCAACAACAACAGCAGCAGCAACAACGTATCCAGCTTTACGCCCTTTCATCTGCGCTTTAACACACCCAATCGCCAGCAGCAACATCAGCACCAGCAGCAAAGGAACCAAAATGTGCAGCAACAGCAGCAGGGATCAAGCCCCAACACATCATCGTTTCGCGGTAGTGTGTCCAACAATCCCTCCGCCGTGGCATCCCCAGCAACCAACAACTTTTCACAAAGACCTCCACTGTTTCCCATGAGTCACATACCAGCGCCGGTGATGCCTGGTCCTGGCTCTGGTCCCGCCGTGGGTCGTCTATCAATGCCCGCAGTGCTGACTGTGCCACCGCCACCCACACCACCGGCCAGCCTCTCGTGGAACAGTCCCCTCTTCAAGCTGAGCACAGACTATGCACAGCAGCGGCCAACATCAGCAACTGCAGCGAAGACAACAAAGCTGGACGACGATGATGATGATGCCGACAACTGTCCAAACTTTTCGATTTACTCGCAGGAGTCGCAGGCGGTGGCCAATGCCACGTCACTGCCAATTGGGCCACAACCAAGGCCTGCAGCCGAAGAGCCAGATAAGGTAGGGATCCAGAAGATGGTTTAATGTTTTTAATTTGTTTGATAAGTGGCATAAGGATTGGCATATAAAAGATCAGAATCATGTTTAAAATATTCGTTTAGGTATAATTTATTTGAGATTTCCTTTTGCGTCTCCATCCATGTATTCCTCTACCTACTAACGCAAACCAAATGTTGTTCTCTTTTCTTCTCGAATTTCTATTTAATCGAAAATACCTTCCATGCAGGAGGACGATGACATGAATGAGGATTTAGTACAATTAGACGATGATGATGATGATGTTGAGGATACTGCAGCAGTAGCAGCGCAGGAGGATAACAGCATACCATTGCCACCAGAAAAGGCCTCCGATCTGTATGAGCCAGAGAATCCCACAGAAGAGCAGGAGGACGGCGATTCCAACATCGATGGAGAG